AGCTCTCATACATTTGCACGGGTAACTGTATTAGTTTACATAAGTGTACAAACAAAATTTTGTGATGTTCAGTTTTTTAATGGAGATTTATTATAATTTATGAAAAAGAAAGTAAATAATTATTGTACAAAAGAAAAAGTTAAATTATACAATATCTAATTATTTATTTGTTTGAAAATTAAATCGAAAACATGTAAACTGACACCAACCTTCTAGGGCTCATTATTATTGTTATCTATATATATAAAAAGAATTACCATTTACTATAAATAGTAGCAAAAATTTAGGAAACATTTAATGCGTACTATTTTTAAAAAAATTTTAAGTATATGCATTAATTGCCTCTATTTACATGTTTTTAAATAAGATCAAATTAAATATGATCAAATAATTACTTAAATAAATTTATTAATATTTGTAGTATTTTTATTGATATTTATTATAATAAATTACAAGATTGATTTTCGTGATTCATGTTGATAATATTTTGGTCAAGATAAATATTATTTTATTAATATTTGTAATACTTTCTTTGATATTCATTATAATAAATTAAAATATTGATTTCTGTGATACATGTTGATAATTTGGTTAATATAATATTACACCATATTTTAAGTTCTAACCATAATATTAGTTTTTTTTTTTTCACAAATATTCACTTTTTATCCAAAAATATTTATGGAAAATCGTAGCAGGGTAGGTAGAATTTTTTTTCCAAGTAATTAGACAAAATCGAGTTGGTGAATTAATCTTTGCCAATATATTTGTTTCTTAAGCTTTATTTTGTTAAATATAAAAAATAAATCGTTCTTCAAATTAATATAATTTACCATTTAAGAGATAATGACCAGATACAATAAATAGTTTTACTAATGGTACAAAATTAAAATTGAAACATATTAACCATTGTTTAGAATTTATTTGTATATTATTGACACCCATGATTATATTTTTTTATTTTTTTTTATTTTGATTTTTATATAATTAAATTCTTGTAAAATATATTTCATTGCTGAGTACGCTAAATAAATCATAAATCCTTATAATGCAAATTAGAAAAATCTTGATCATAGAGGGGCGAGTTTTTGGGATTTTCTAAATCAAAGTTGTTTAATTAGTATACAAAATTAAATTCTAAAAAAAACATGTGTATATTTTGTAAAATATTTATACACTATTTAATATTAAATTTATTTACATATTTTAAATTAATTACATAAATAAATATTACCAGTGTGCATTAAATATTTTTTATTACATAAAATAAAAATAAAAATAAGACGTACAACTTCTAGAACTTTATAAATGATAATGACATTATATGACAAAAAGTGTATAATAAAATAATAATTAAGTATTATACGGTAAACAAGAATAAGTAAAATTGTTATTCTCTCTTATATCAATGAATAAATATATATACTAAAATCAAATTTAAATTAGGATAAATGTGCTAGTGAAATAATATATTAATTATTTTAATATTTTGACTAAAAAAATAACGTTGATTAAAAGAGGTGCAAAATATATTATAACCTTATTGTTTATTAAACTTAACGTTGATTAAAAGAGATGAAAAATAGATGATAATCCTATTGCTTTTAATACTTAAACAGACAAATTAAGCATATGAAAATACTCATTACCCTGTTGGGGTCTTAGAATTACCCTGTTGGGGTCTTGTAATCTGTTCCTTTTGCACTTTTGTGCTTTTATATATTACCTCTATCGTTCCGCCAAAAAAAAAAAAAAAACATGTGAAAGTAACTCATTTAATATTTCTGTCTCGTGCATCGCACGAGGTACGTACTAGTTTTTAAAAACCTAAAATCTAATTAGTTTTACAAATCTGTGCATTTGAAATGAGTTAAAAAAAAAAAGGATTTATGAAAACCGCTAGTGTGAAACGCTCCCATGTCCAGCGTTTCCAATATCAGTTTTTTCTCCCCATCCGCCAAGTAAAAAAGCTCTTTTACCAAACATAATTAATAGTTGTTTTATCCGGTCAAACCAGCGGTTTTAGTGTTTTGGCTCAAAACGCTGAAAACTAAACATAGCCTTTATATAATAATATACTGTATTTGCTAATTAATACGATCAAATACAAATGTTAACTAAAATATATATAATACACTATTTAATATGATCAAATACAAATGTTATCTAAAACTAGTGTTGCAACCCGTGCGATGCATGAGACATAATATAAAAAAATACTTTATTATCAAATATTTAAGAGAATATGTCAATTCTATTCGACACAACATATCATATGTGTACTAATATATTATTTATTTCAATTTTTTTTTTTATTTGTCCAATTTATTTTTAGAGGTATGAATTTTATTTGTTATTAGTTTATAAAATATTATAAGAGTGTAATATTTAAAATATAATAATTGTTTACAAATTACTTGCATGTACTTATATAATTATAAATTATATTAATCTTACAACGTTTTTAACGATTCATGTTTTGCATATTTCTCAATAACTGACCAATGTTTAATCCATAAAATAAAGTTTTCTCTATAATAACTCTAATTTCATGAAATACTAACTTATGACAATTAACTTATAATTTTTAGTAACTTTTATCTTTTGTGAAACACATTTTCATGGTAAATGCTTTATTTTAAATTTTATTTTTTTTGTTTATATTTATCTATTTAATTCATATTTTCACAACATTTATAATAATGTAATTAATAAACAATTTAAGCATTTTGATATATGATATATTTCAATGACTACTAAATGTTAAAAAACATTTAAATTGTGTCTGTTAAAAAATTATTATTTAAAAAATCCGGCTAAGATCTATTAAGTGTGCGATATTTTATTTTTATATTTTTTCTTAGAAACAACAAAAAACATTTAAATCTCGATCTCTATATTTACAAAATCGCAATTCAAAATATAACAAAACTTTTAGAATCCTGTCTTTATATTTGTTCCTTTAGAAAAATATTGAACACTAAAAATATTCTTTAAATTGATAATCAATCAATTAATCTTAATTTTAAAAATTACTATGTTTATTTTTATTAATATTCAAAAAGTAAAAATAATTAATTCATCTTTACATATATAAATTATAAACTTAATATACTATCATTTGGTGTAGACATTTGTTATATGAATCAAAAAATATTTTTATTTCATAAAATTTAATACATTGAAAGAAAATAAGAAAATTTATTTGGATCAATCGGGTGATTTAATTAAGGTACTGCCCAGGTTGATTGAATTACTTTTAGGCGATATTTAAAATAGTAAAAAAACTTGACACATTTGGTTGGTATCAGGTGACTAAATTATGTACCAGTTTGACCAGACCTAATCGATTATTGAACCTAAATATAAAATTTAATATTGAAAATACTATATTTGCGTGAATATGATGCAATCCAAACTTCAAATAATCCTATTAGTAATAGTTTGGGCAAAAATCAATTTTGGTTCTGTAAATTGGCTATTGTCTAGTTTTGGTGCACCAACTTTCCCCTCATTAAAATAGTCCGCTATGTTACAATGTTGTCAATTTTAGATCAGTAATTCCGAGGGGCCGGATTACATGATGACGTGGACAAGGACTGAAACGCCGTGGATAGATAGGACTTTGACATGGAAGGATTATAATTTTCCACGTCATCACGTAATCTAGCCACTCGGGATTACTGTACTAAAATTGACGAAATTTGTAACATACTTGACTATTTTTTATGAGGGGAAAGTTGGTGTACAAAAATTGGACAATGACCAACTTAGAGGACCAAAATTCGATTTTTTCCTCAATACTTTTATGACAACATATTTAATAATTTATAAATATTTATATATCATTTCATTAATATTTATGTGAATAAAATAATATTATATTATATTTTTTCTTAATGTAAAGTAAATATAAGGTTTTCAGAACCGGACCGTCATTGAAACGATCAAGTTATTTAATTAAATCATTTGTTGTTTGCTTCAGAGTTTAATTTATAAATATTTTAATATATATACATATAGTACTTTTTGTAATGAATTTAAATAAAATGTGTTACTTAAATATCTTAACAATTTACAAATTCAAATGTTTAAACTAATTGATAAACAATTTATAAATCTCTATTTTATTTAAACATGTAATTTTATTTAAAATAATTTTAAATGTAGCAAAATTTATTTAGAAAATCGTATCGATCCTACCAGTCCAACCGACTGATGTTGACGGATTCGACTATATATTTTATTCAAGCGAACTGGACTGATTATAAATCGGTTCTCGGTCTATCCAGTCGGTTTTTGTTCAACCCGGTTTAATTTAAAAACAATGGGCAAATCATGATTACTGTTATTTATATATTTAATTTATAATATAATCGTAATATTTTTTCCCGTGCATTGCACAGGCCACGCACTAATTTTCTTAACAAGTACCCGCGTATTATAAAAGGTATTGTACTGGTACTCAATTCAACCGGCATAATATCAAAATTGGTCCTATAATTTGGCCACTTTCCAAAAAACCACCCCGTCATTGGCCACTTTCATTTTTGGTCCTATAAATTGTCAATTTAATCAAATTTGGTCCTTTTCTAATCAAATTTGGTCCTATAATTTGACATTTTGGTCCTTTTGTAATCTCATTTTAATCCATATTCTGGATAAAAAGGACCAAATTTGATTAAAATGTCAAATTATAGGACCAAGTTTGAAAGTGGCCAATGGCGGGGTGGTTTTTTGGAAAGTGGCCAAATTATAGGACCAATTTTGAAATTATGCCCAATTCAACCAAAGACAGTCTAATAGAACTTACCTACAATAATACTGTGGTTATTTCGTCGCCAAAATCTGAGGGCTGATATTAAACTGAATTTATAGGACGGTAAGATCAACGTATAGTGTCCCACTCTTCTTTTCTTATATATAGGAGTAAGGAGACAGAGACCCACCCATCAGAAACACACCCACTGCTCTTTTCTCTCCCTCAATCGAACTCTGCCATGGCAGTTCCCCGCGTCAAATTCCTCTTCATCTCCTTCTTCTTTTTCCTCCTTTCATTGGCTTATGTAGGCGGGGCCGGGTTCATCGGCCCCAGCCCATGCCCGGATCTAATCTTCCTCCTGGCTGGCCAGAGCAACATGGCCGGGTGAGGAGGCGTCCCAAAAAACGGGCAGTGGGACGGAGTTGTCCCACCGGATTCCCAACCGACGCCATCAGTGCTCCGCCTCAATGCGGACCTGCAGTGGGAGGTAGCCGTAGAGCCCCTTCACCGTGACGTGGACAACATTACGACCCCCAACCACCATGGGGTAGGGCCGGGCCTCCCATTTGCCACCGCCCTTGTTAGCGACCTTGGGCTGGTGACTGTCGGCCTTGTCCCGGCTGCCTACAGTGGCTCGACCATTGGCCAGTGGCAGCGCGGCCAGTGGCTCTACAGCCGCCTCCTGGAGCGGGCTGCGGCAGCGACGGCCTTTGGGAGCCCCATCACGGCATTGCTGTGGTTCCAGGGAGAGAGCGACACGGTGAAGAACCAGAAGGCCAAGTTCGGAGCTCAGACACTCGACTTCTTCAACAACCTACGAGCCGACTTGTGCATACCCGACCTCCCTATCATTCAGGTATATACTTAATTTTTTTTTTAGTTATATATTCATTCTTTTTTAGTTCCACTTATATATTTATGTATTCATTTATTAATTATTGTGTGATGGAACAGGTGGCTATCACGTCCCCCATTCCTGGGATGAGCAACGCGTCCGATGTAGATATCGTGCGCAAGATTCAGTTTGGGCTGCAGCTGCCGAACCTGAAGACAGTGGATAGCATGGGCTTGGCGATTGGGCCGGACGACGTACACCTGACCACGGCGGCTCAAGTCCTGCTGGGACGGATGCTCAAGGAGGCTTACCTGCTGTGACTCGTGTCATTTTTCTCCTCCTTTTTTCATGTCGTGTGTTCGAATCTAGCATTGTCCATGCTTGTTAACTTTCCACTACGTATTGTAAGCTTCAATTATTAATGAAATTTCCCACATTTTAACGTTGATTTAACAATTTTATCTCTTATTTGTCCTTTGACCGCTTAACTTACGGGTGGGCATTGGTGCGATTTGGTGAAAAATCACACCAAACCGCAAAAACCAACAACCGAAAATTTTAAAATATCCAAACCGAACCGCACCGATTTTGAAGAAAAAACCGCACCGAAAATTTCGATTCGGTGTAGTTATAACAGCCAAAAAAAAAAAAAAAA